GGGGGTGGGGGTGGATTGGAATGGAAGATAGATTAAAAAAAAAAATCATATATAAATTATGGTCGAACAATCTGAAAAAGCAAAAGAAAAGGTTACTTACCGCTCCACCACACCACCCTTAAAAAACAGGTATATATATATATATATTTTATGTCTAGTCAACACCAAAACAGAAGGTAAATAAATACACAGCACAGCATATACTTCTTGTTTGGTTTTGGCTTATTCAAGGTAATGAATGGCCTAGCCTAGCAGTAGTCAACACCAAAACAGACGTTTCTTAGTAGGAGTGTTCAAATTTTTGATCGGCCGCAATTTTTTATCTTACCCTATCCTATCCAACCCTAAAAATCAACTAGTCGCNTCTATACCAGACCAGACCAGACCAGACAGACATACCAGAAAAAGGAGTTTCTCCATGGATTGGTGGAAGAAGAATTTGCCAAAGCCAATTTTACAACAAAACACCCCCCACATTTTTATAAACTACTAAAAAAAAAAAAAAAGAACCCTCCCAACACACATAAGATTATTGTCGAGCAGAAACAAGCGACAAGAAGAGAGAAAGTGAACACAAGCAGCAATCAAATCAACCAAGTGGGCGGGTTTTTGATAATAATCACCATGAGACCTATTCAACCACCATCAACACTAGCAGCCGCCGCCACCATCACCAACCGCAACCGTCCACGGAGGCGTCCAGACCTGACCCTACCCCTGCCGCAACGCGATCCATCTTTAGCCGTACCCCTCCCTTTGCCACCCACCTCCGCCCCAGCGTCTTCCTCCTACTCCTCTCAACAACTTGTATCATCAGCTCAACCATTGAACTTCTCAGAACTCGAGCGCATCAACCGAATCGGCAGCGGCAGCGGGGGCACCGTATACAAAGTTCTCCACCGGCCAACGGGTAAACTCTACGCCCTTAAAGTCATCTACGGGAACCACGAAGACTCCGTCCGGCGCCAGATCTGCCGTGAAATCGAGATCCTACGCGACGTCGACAATCCAAACGTGGTGAGGTGCCATGACATGTTCGATCACGATGGCGAGATTCAAGTCCTCCTGGAACACATGGATGGTGGATCACTGGAAGGAGCCCACATCCTCCACGAACCCTCTCTCTCAGATGTCACCCGTCAGATCCTCTTGGGGCTATTCTACCTCCACAAGCGAAAAATTGTCCACAGAGACATCAAACCCTCGAATCTCTTAATCAATTCAAGAAAACAAGTGAAGATCGCGGATTTTGGAGTTTCTAGAATTCTTGCCCAGACTATGGATCCCTGTAATTCAGCGGTTGGTACGATTGCGTATATGAGTCCTGAAAGGATCAACACGGATCTGAATCATGGGATGTATGATGGGTATGCTGGGGATATATGGAGCTTAGGAGTAGGCATCCTCGAGTTTTATCTGGGTCGCTTTCCTTTTGCGGTGGGAAGGCAAGGTGATTGGGCGAGCCTTATGTGTGCAATCTGTATGTCGCAGCCACCGGAAGCACCGGCGACGGCGTCCAGGGAGTTGAGGGAATTCATCGCTTGTTGTTTGCAGAGGGATCCGGCTAGGAGATGGACGGCCGGCCAGTTGTTACGTCATCCTTTCATTGTGCAACACAGCTCTAGCACCACCAACCATGGCAGTAATCAGGTTCATCAACCACGCGAACTTTTACCTCCACGTCCACATTTTTCTTCTTCTTGATTTTTATTTTCTTTCTATTTTTTTTTTTGGTCTCTGTGTAATTTTTTTGTGAAATCATATGATGATGGGCGGTGATGGGTCGGAATTTGATTTTTAGGAAATGAATTGGAGAAATGGGAATGGGGTTTATGTTACTTGGGTTTTTCAATCAACCGATGTATGTTGTTGTCTTCTGATAATGTTTTGACCAGAAAAGGAAAAGTCTATCAACTTTCACTCACTTATATATTATTATTATTATTATGCAGTTTCTTTTTTCCGGTTGTGCTTGATATTGCATTAATTAATGGAATACAAACAAAATAGAGTTGTTAATTTGCGTAGGAAAAAAAAAAATACAAAGATTAGATGGGGTTTTGAAGCCTACTTGATGATCATCATTGTGGTTGTGGATGTGGATGTGAGAGAGAGGAGAGGTTGCACTTGCACACATTATTACTTCCTTTCCTACAATCTTGATCTTACCACATTACATTACATAGCTGTTCTGTTCAAATGTTGGATTGGAATCTTAAGTATTTGCATTGTTTTTTATTTATGGTTGATGGCAATAACTTGAGCCTTATTATTAGCTAGACTAGACTAGACAAAAGTTCTTGAGTGAGTAGAGGATTTTTCAGAAGAATTTGTATTCAAAATGTGGGTGGAACTTTATCTTTAACCTTCTCCTCCCTTTCTTTATTTTATGATGGGAGCAGTAGCAGATGCAGATGCCAATAATGGACGGGAGGAGATGCCAATAATGGCTACAAGTAA